CAACGGCACCTATAACAGTCAATGATGTGACTTCATCAGGGCCCGATTTTCGCCGGTTTCTTCTAAGAAAACCCTGTTCAGCTCTGTCGCAGAGTCTTTTTATTATTTTCCTATCAGGATGACGTCTGTCTGGAAATCTTTCAGCATATAGCCTTTCTGCTGCCGAGTAATTATTCTTGGCCTCACCCAAAATGCGAATCATGTCCACAACTTCATTTGGTGGATAAGCAGCCATAATTATAAAGAAAAAAAGCGCCAAAGAACCAAAAATTCCTGTCTTATCAAAAAAAAGTAAATGAATAATAATATGCGTCTGTCTGAGACTTCGCCAAAATACCGACAGTTGCCCAAATAAGAAATTTGAAACAAGCCTCTTGATATTTGTTTCATTAAAAGAATTGACAATTGCACTTTCACAATTGTTACAGTTCATTGATTATCAGGCAATACAGGATCTCGTCTTGACTGGCTGGATCATGCTCGGATCTTGCCTTGACTGATTGGATCATGCTTGGATCTTGCCTTGACTGGTTGGATCATGCTCGGATCTTGCCTTGACTGGTTGGATCATGTAAGATAAGACTATCGGAAAGTGAATGTTTTACGAAATATTTTGTATTTTTATCAAAATTTTATAAATTTGGAGCTTTATAACTCGAAAAGTACTTCACCAAAAACATTTGATTATAGTGTTTTGGGAAGCTCTCGAGGTCAGCTACAAGAATATGTAATAAAAAATAGGGGGTACCATCTAAAAAAATTGAGGTAACCTTCACGTGACCTTCAAATGACTCTTCAAGGTCAAATCAATGGTACCATCTTATGGCCCCCTTGAAATCATACAAAACGTGTCTGAATCATTTTTCTCTAAAATAAAAAATAAGAGATATTTGGGGTGGACACTTAAAATGGGACACCCTGTATATATATGTATGTATGTATATATATATATATATATATGTATGTATGTGTATATATATATATATTTTTTTTTTATTCAAAACAATTAGGGCAGCATTTTAAAACTTGCAAAATTAGATGGTTTTTAAGAAGCCATATTTCAGCTTGGGGAGGCCATAGAACAATGTCCAGGGCGCATTTTAACGGATGAAGCTTCAACTTTAAAGAGGCTAAGGTTTCATTATTCGTCTCATCGTACTGTTTTTCTTGTAAGGTCCAAAATCAGGTGGTGAAAAAATTGTGGAAATTTCATGATTTTGTAACCATACACGAATAAAGCAGGGATGGAAATAAAAATGGCACCATACTCGCTTTGAAGTGGGAAACTTCCCCTTAAAACGCCGCAAGGAACATTGTTCTATCATACCTTGGAGTCGAGTTGTCGCATTTCAAAATCACCCCTGCATTTTGTAAGATTTTTAGCAACACTGCCGGCGTTATCCGATGTGCATTATGGGGAGGTTGCTCGGTCGGATTTTGCATATCATGTGTATGGTGTACGTTAATATGAAGTGTGCGTGATATATGTGTGTGTGTGTGTGTGTCAGCAGAGATAAGGACCCTCTTTTATTAAAGCGATTATTACTTGCGCTGCTTTATTTTCGCTAAGATGTCTCATTTTTATACATGCATACATACAATGTAGATACATAAATTGTGTTTCTCGCGTTAGAGTCTATTACAAACTTGCGAGTTGATGTGATACAAGTTACTAGTGTAAAAACTTCCTTTTATTTGTTAGATGTGTTTTCAGGTACTTGACATTGACTTAAGTAGCACAATTTACGTACATTTACATACATAAAAATGAGACATCTTAGCAAAAATGAAGTAGCGCAAGTAATCGCTTTAATAGAAGAGGGTCCTTATTTCTGCTGACACACACACACACACCATATTAACGTACACATATACCATACACATGATATGCAAAATCCGACCGAGCAACCTCCCCGTAATGCACATCGGATAATGCGAATGACGGCGGTGTTGCTAAAAATCTTGCAAAATGCAGGGTGACTTTGAAATGCGACAACTCGATTTCAAGGTATGATAGAACAATGTTCCTTGCGACGTTTTAAAGGGGAAGTTTCCCACTTCAAAGCAAGTATGATGCTATTTTTATTTCCATACCTGCTTTATTCGTGTATGGCTACAAAATCATGAAATTTCCACAATTTTTTCACGACCTAATTTTGGGTCTCACAAGAAAAATAATTTGATGAGACGAATAATGAAGCCTTAGCCTCTTTATAGTCGAGGCTTCACCCGTTAAAATATGCCCTGGAACATTGTGCTACGACCTCCCCAAGCTGAAATATGGCTTCTTAAAAACCATCAAATTTTGCAAGTTTTAAAACGATCCCCTAATTGTTTTGAGTAGTGTATATATATATATATATATATATACACACACTACTCAAAATAGTTAGGGGATATATATATATATATATACACATTGCATAAACATATATATATATCGTCCCTTAAAAAATTCGTTCAGTCTGAAGTTAATAAGCGTAATGGATCTTTGTACTACTGCCCGTAATACAAGAGTATAACAATAGATGTGAGTAACCGCGATTCGTTGCTGCGTTAACGGGACATCGCGTGAGAAAAGGCATGTTGTTATACAGCGTTGCTCTCATTCTTTCCGTAATATACTGCTGCGTGTTCAAAGGTGGTAAAGGATGCGAGCGCCTTACAGTGAGACAGAAAGAGAGAAAAGCTCTAAAGGGAGAACTGAGCGTTGTTGGTGTGCACAGAATGAGAGCGAATAAAAAAAAAAGTAAAAATCGAGGGACAGAATAGAGGACATACCAGTACCTGACATGGAGTCTGGCGAGCGGCCACGCAACGCACCCGCGTAGCTATTTATGCAGGCTTCGGTGGATATTAAAAAGAAAAAAATTACATCAAGTAAAGTCAACTCTATCGGGGCCCCCCTCCCTTCAGCCCCTGAAGAAAATGCCTGGCTATATCATTTGTCAAGGGGGCTGGAAGCGAAAAAAAGAAGACACGAAGCAAATTATAAAAGTAAGGCCATCCGAGAGGCGTGCGCTCGCGCGCGCATACGCACACATACACACACACACGCGTGGTACGTAGCCGTCGATACAAGCATTTTAATTTTGAGGGATACTACAATGTGGCAGGATCTGTTCATCTATATACTATACAAATAGCTATTTCAAGAGATAACACAGTTCGTACGATAAGCAAGGCATCATCAAAGATTACTGCATCAGAATCGATAGGAATAACTTTTGTCATGATATCTCATCGTTATCTCTTGCTCTTATTGCTACTGCTTCTCTCTCTGAAATGAATGCCACGGATGTTCTCGGTGAATTTGCTATCGACAGATCGTTGTTAATAAAACTACAAAAAAAGGAGAGGAGATTAACGGCAACAATCAAGGGGTAAAAAAAAAAAGGTTTTTGTTTTACTACATAATCTGCAATCTTCCCGATGTATACGTATTTGATACGTTTATCCATCGCTTAAATTTCAATATTGACTGCATGGTTTCACCAAAAACGCCAATACCAACTGTGTGTGTGTGACTTGCCTTAAACAGAGAAGATAATCTATTCTGTTAGTGCTCGAGTAATTGTGAAACTCATTACGAATATCGCAAGACTGCAACTTTAGATAAAGTAGACAAAAGAAACTCTATACACACTCAAGCATTCTGAACCGTATACAAGACAGGCAGATATATATATATATATATGTGTATATACATATGTATATATATATATGTATATATACATATGTATATATATATATATATATATGTATATATGTAGGGAAGTTTTGCATTAGTATATGTATACTAAACTAATTGTCGGTAATGTATCTTTATCGTCAACTCGCTTCAACAATTCAATATGCTCTAAAAAAAGAGTATCATATCATACCTGTATTTTGTACTGTTTGTGCAGATGCTCCAGAACCGGAACCGCCACAATCTGTTTCGTCTTGCTTATCATCTAATCTGTAAAAAATGACGGTTATATTACTTCTCTATCTTTGTCACAAAATACATGTTTGTTGTACAAAGACTAAACAGATAAGGATTGTTCGTTTCGCTATTATTTCGGTATAAATTCATGTTTGAATCTACGAACGTGAAAGTCAACGATCAACTATTATAGCAGAACTTTACGAAGCGTAAAATAATCATGTAACATGAGAATGCGTTATATTTATTTTTACGTAAGAGTGAAGTGAATATGTTAGCATTACAAGTGACTTGGAGATAGTAGCAACGGTTCTTTCAAATTCAGCAAACAGTGATTAATGCGTGCGATTTATTACATAAATGCAGACATACGCACAAAATGGATCAAACTGTGGATAAATAGTGACAAACATTATCTGAACGTTGTCTGCAATTACAGAGAACAATTACGTCAAAAATATAGCAGATATACGAACCTATGTTGTTTGAGAAGTGTGCAACCTCCAGTTTCCGTTAAATCCAGGTTATAGACATACAAGTAACCGTCGGCACTAGCTACCAACAGTTTTGGTATTTTGTGTGTTCTAAAAGCGAAAATGATGTATGAAATGTATACAGATTCAATAATAAACGTCTCATACGCGAAGTAATCAAATTAATAACCGATCTTCGAACACTCACACAGTGATGGCACAGACATTTTTCAATCCTTGAAACGGTAGGTGGACGCTAGCGAAAGCACGTCCTTGAGTAAAAACATCAGTCACTTGCGACGGCAAGTAATTGGCCGACGCTGTCACAGCCTTTGTCAAATAGCCCATCCAGCTTTGTGCTTCGTCCGTAGTCTGCCCTGGCCTGTACCAATATACGCGAAATGTTTCAATATCATAGTATATACGATAAAGTGACGATCGTATGACTGACACATACGTTTCCTTTGGTTCCTCCAGCTTGAATATATGCACTGTTTCAGTGTTACTAGAACAACAAAGCCACATAGAATCACTGCTAAACGAAAGACTACTTATCGTGACACATCTTTTAACACCGCGTCGGAATTCAAATAATTTTGTACCCTCGTGAACCTAGTGAAAAGAAAAAAGTGATTTTCAGCAAGTGTTTTACGTCACTATATACTGGTATCTACAATTTATCTTACGTCAAACACTCTAATCACAGTGCCCTTTTCAGAGGCCGTCGCAACTTTGGTGCCGGTAGAGCTGAAAGCGAGCGCTGCTAATGGACTATCGTGTGCCGGTATCATTGTCTTAGCTTGCTAAATGTGAAAGAAAAGCATACATAATTATTGAATACCGAACTTCAATGATGTAAAAATATTGATTAATTAACTAGTATTTGATAAAAATACATACAAGATGGATCGCATCAAATATTTGAACTTCACCGATAGTATTCGAACCAGGATAAGCTAAATAACAATTGTCACTACATATCGAAAGTGTACAAAGGCCTGAAAGGTTAGGTGGAGTATCACGAATTGTGTGCAACACTCTCATATCCCGTATATTATGAATGTATAACGATTCTTCCAGACATACTACCAATCTCTGAAACACAGTATTATTCTTGTTGTATTCTTAATCACTGTAGAAAAGGTTGAAGAGATAATGTTATATTTAGTCATTTCATAGTAAAATGATTATGTCATATCATATTGAAAGATCCATATAGACGCAAAAAATTTTAAAAGTCAATTTTAGCTCTCAACTGGCTCATTCATATACAATATCAAATTGATCAACTTACCGCTCTGTTGAGTTTCACAGCCAAAATAGTATTCGAGTAACTGTAATTGCATATTTCTGTGCCTTTCCTAAAGTGGCACACTGTAAGTGTACGAGGGGATGAAAGACTAACAACTGCCACCAAACTGCTGCTGAATAATCGCTCAACAATGCAAATATCCTCAGTATCTATATAAAAACAAGGAAAAAATATAAATTAACATTCTTTTTTTAATAGACATAATATTCAATATAATAAGCAATTTAATCTTAAATTCTACTGCTTATTAAAGCTGCTAGATAAATGGTCATGTAATTTTCAAGAATTATCAATACATATCCTAAAATTATCGAAAAGAACATGAAAAAAACAAATTATTACCATTTTCATATATTTTCTCAAGATGACCAGCAGAACTGATAGAAAAAAGTTTGTATCCTGATTTTGATCCCACTGCCAGGGACCTGAAAATTCATGAAATGCCTTACTAGAAATTGAAAATTGAGAAAACTGACAATGATGTCAGTTTCCTTTTGCTACATTTAAACAGCTGCTGTGGCATGATAGTGTTGGAGGCACAAAGCTGAGCCATTTACGATATCTCTGTACGAACTATGCAATATCATATGTAAGAGAATTAAAAAAAATAACGCGCACGCAATACGCAACCGTGACAAGGAACAGGTACGAGGTGAGTCCTTGGATGAGGCAATGCGAGTAGGAAGGCCAGGCGACTGGCGACTGCTTCTCGCGGTGTGTATGCAAGCAGCGTGATGTTTTTCTTTCGCCCGCACGCACGTACGTACGTTACGAATAGCGCACGAGCGAGCGAGAGGAGAGCCACCGTGAGGTTGATGTTGCGCTAACACGCAATTAATCGGTGAAAGGGGGAGCGCGCGCGAATGACGCAGGCATATAGGAGCAACGACGAAAACAAATAAATTGTGCGACAAGGAGGAACATAGAGATCGCGGACTCGCGGGGACTTCGTACACGATTTCGCACGTCATGCGCGTTATTCCGCGACCGCGAGCTAGCGACGAAAACAAATAAAAAAAAAATAACGGTTGACATTCATTCTACAAATCATAATCAAACAAGCGAGCAGTCAAGACGGAAAGACAGAAAACGGCGGGTCGACAGACGAGGCGAGGTTAGGCAAACAAAGGAGACGAACGAATAAGAGGATCGCAAGCGGGACGGGAACGTTGTCGTGATCGTTGTTATTGTCGATGTCAACGTCGTCACCCTTGTCACCGCCACTGTGGCCATTACCGTCGTCGTCGTTGTCGCCCTCATCCTCGTCGTCGAAGAAACAATGCCGACGACGGCTGGACAATCGGTGTGATAAACTTACGTGCAGTCCTGATTGAAGTTAACGAAGTAGGGACCGCTCTGCGGACTGTCGGACGTCTGATTTGCGAGGTTCATTAGTCCTGATATGCCGTATTTTAGCCCTTGCGTTAATACATCCAGGTTGCGCGCGAGATCTTGCATAAATCGTATGAGTGGCGCGCGTATACGAAAGCTCTCTTCCTTCGGCCACTTACACCACGACGTTCCTCACTCTCTGTTCGTTCGTTCGTTCGTTCGTCTGTCTGTCTGTTTGTCTTTCTATCTCTATCTCTCTCTCTCTCTCTCTCTCTCTCTCTCTCTCTCTCTCTCTCTCTCTCTGCTTTTTCTCACTCTCTCCTTTCCACCTCCCCACCCTCGCACTGTCTATATCTGTCCCTTGCACTCCTTTGTCTGTATCTGTCTCTCCGTTTATCTGTCCCGTTTGCAAACACACTGTCGCGCACGCGATAATATGGACGATTCACTGACTAGTTAACTGGCCGTCTGCGACGGAAGTGTGTCTGACGTCGCCGACTCCTACAAGTGACTGCACCGCTGTCGTTTCATATTGAACAGCTGACACTCGCAGCTGCTGCACGGAACGGCGGAACATGAAACATCAGTCCGTTTCCTCTTGATTCTGTGCGTTCCGTTGCTATGGCGACCGCGCGCGTTTCCGTTTTCGCTCGCGCTCTCTTTGTGTCGTCGTGCAGTTTCTCTTTTTCTCCCCCTAAAAGTGTAATGCACAATGGCCACGTTCGTTGGGGGACAAAGCGTCCGGTAGATGAGAAGTTAGCGATCGGTGATGATTTGATTGAGGGAGAAACGTATAGCAACGAAATTCGCCGAATGTCAATTGTTTGCCAAATGCTTTGTTTTTTAACTGAACGCGACTGCACTCTCGTATAATTTATCTTTCTTCCTGTTCTTTCTCCATCAATATTTTTCTACCAAGGAGCAACATATGTCTCCGTGCCTCTTCTCCTTCCTTTACTTCAGTTTTAGAATATATATACATATATATATATATATATATGTATTTTGCTTAAAATAATACAATTGAAAGTAACATAGATTTTTTACCTGTTTTGGCAGAAAGTTACATTAACTGTACTTGATATTCAATTTAATTTGCTCTCACTATTAATTAAAATAAAATGCGTACATACGTGCAAGCGTAGAAAAAAATATTTAAACAAATGAAATATATAAAGTATAACTAAAATAAATGCGCATTTAGAAATGTAAAACATATGTAACCAGTGACAGCTGGTGACTAGTTTTATCATTCCTAATAAATTCACAAAGTTGCACTTTTCGTCGTTTGGCGGAGAGTGGCGCGGAGTGCAGCGATCAGCTGTCATGGCTGTCACGACATTCGTGAAGTAACGAGACGGACTCCTTTACCCAAATAATTCATTCCAATGCGTTGTACTCAAAGATGACAGCCGATTCGTCGACTATTTAATCCTTCACAATTTATCTGAAAGATGCTTCGAATTTTTCAATATAACTCCTCTCACCGTATCTCCGCAATTTTCCATATGTAACAATAAATTAATATCTGAATTATATTTATGTAGAAAGTTTTTGAAAAAGGTAAGGAAATATCATTTATATATTAAAAATGCCAATTTCTCTCCTTTTTTTTTTACTAAGGTTAAATCTTTGCGTACGTATAAAATATATTAAGCTTGAATCTTATACAGCACAAAAGTTGCAGCAACATTGCAATATTGTTACAACATTGCAGCAATGTTGCTGCAACTTTTTTGTGCTGTATGAAGAAATATACTGCATGTGTATATTTTAAAAATATAATTTGAGATATAGCTTGAAATTAATATGTTTCATATCTTAGGTAAATTTAATGATCCCATGGATGCGTGATCAAATAGCAGAGGCCTGGCATAACAGAAAGAGTTCAAGGACAGCCGACAGGCAGTCCTTGGCCCTTTCTTCTATTAGCGCAGGCAATCCTGCAAGCAACAACACCATGCTTATGCCATTACCTACCTCACCCGAAAGCTTTTCTGTCAATGTTATCAGGTATAAGTTATACAAATTGATATTGAAAATTTCAAGTATTTTTATTAAATATTAAATGATACAAATTGATATTGAAAATTTCAAGTATTTTTATTAAATGTTAAATGATATAAAATCTCTATAGCATAGAGGGCAATATATTAGGTGTTACAGTAAAGCCAGACTTTACTGTAGAGAATATTAAAAAAATAGCAATGATACATTTCTATGGCCAAGATACCACTAAACCCATCTCTCGCTACCGTTTAGTTCATTCCTCCAAGTTTAAACAATTAGTAGATGAACATTATATAGATGATGAAGATATCAATGAATATGGTAATTATCTTAATTGAACTGTATATATTTATTTATCCATATTATAAACATCTTTCTAATTCATTTCTGGCTTGCATGTAGTAAATATATTTTGTTACAGATGAATTGTTGCTGGTGGAAATTCGACCAACTATTGTACAAGAGAATCTCTCAGATGAAGCTTTCAAGGGTCCAAATCTAGAAGCAATAGCTCGAGCTACAAGTGATTTACCTGGTCGAAATGCACCTAAACGTATGCCATCTACAGAATGTCCTGCAGATGTAAGTATCTTAGACTTGTATTTTACACTTAAAATGTATTTTCACTTATGCTACATATATTTAATCCTTATGGTTGTTTGTTATAGTTTCAGAACGAAATTCGTAAGATTCTGATAACTCTAGTGCAAGCTTCCACGAAGATCTTGGTGCATAGTTCAGATGCTGAAAAATTGTATGATATTATTAAGGAGAAACTCGAAACTAGGTGTAAGCCCACTAATGATCCAAAAGTTGTAAAAACTCTTGTAGAAATGGGCTATCCACACAAAAAAGTTCTTAAAGCATTGCGTCTTCGAAAGTAATGTTCAATAATAAAATATTTTGTTAGAATATTTGTGGAATAATGTTAATTATAATGTGGCATAATGTTAATTTGTAATGAGCAATAAATTCATAATTCTGTCATTTCTATTTCAGATCTAATATGACGGAAGCTTTAGAATGGCTTATAGAACATCAGGATGACTCAGACAAGGAAGAAGATGAAGAAATGGATTTCCTCTCTTTAGATACAACAGAGGATTCAAGTGGTGCAGGACCTAGTACTTCACTGAACACTAAGAAGTCATTGAAAGAAGCTTGTATCGAACTTTTTGAAGCAGGTAATAGCTACTAAAACAAAATTATATACAATTGGATATTACTAGAAGATAATTAAGTTTGAAACCAAAGGCAATAAAAGACATCTTGAATTATTACGATAGAAAATCATGATCAGACGGAAAAAAATCTAGTGAATATCGTAGAATTGCTGTTAGAAAGTTTTCGACAATATAGGAGAATGGAATTTAAATCTAATAAACGAGCACTGCGGTCGCTTGTGGAAATGGGTTTTAAAGAGAAAGATATTATCGGCGCGTTGAAAATTACTGGAAATGATCAAGCTAATGCTGTAAGTTATGACTGTTGATACGTGTTGGTAGGTACGGTATTTTATATTTTATAATTAACATTTTTGTGTAGTGTGAATGGTTGCTGGGTGAAAGAAGACGCAGTCTACAAGACTTGGACGAGGGTCTGGAAGTTGACGGGCCAATTTACAAAGCGATTATGAGTAATCCTCACATTCAACTCAGTCTCACAAATCCGAGAATGTTACTTGGTAAGATAGTCATACGACAATTATGTATACAAATATATATATGTATAAAATATATATATATACAAATATACATTTTCACAATATAATCATTATATATATTTTTTTCAGCATATTTATCCATGATAGAAAGTCCCGCATCGACGAATGTGTGGATTAATGATCCTGAAGTCTCACCTGTGCTTAGTCAGATATCTAAGACATATCATGCCGAGAAATACGCCATCCACATGAATCGTTACACCTAGCACTACTGGGAAACTTACTCGAGTCTCTGTGGAACATCGATATTTTTGTATAAATTTACAAGTAACTTTCGCAGAGATTTACAATATCAATCACAGATTGGTGATTATCTGTGACTATTGTACTCGACTTGTACATAATTATGGTTATATATAATTTTGATTATATATAATTATAATTATTTCTAGTTGAGGAGTGTCATGTATAAAAATTTTCACAAAATGTACATCTTATATTATGCTATTGTAAGCCATGGAGATCGCACATATACTTCTATACAGAGATCTCTATATAGAATGCTGAAAATTGCTTTTGACGTTGTACAAGTTACCTGTTAACAATTGTTAGAGAAAATGTGCTTTAATATATACAAGAAGCAGCTGTTATTCTTTTTTTTTCTTTTTGGCATGTAACAAATTCTAATGGAATTTTGATCAAAAACAGATCACTTGAATATGTGATGCAAGTATGGATGGAAGCATGTATAATATACTAAAATATTAGGTCATCCGAAAAGTTCTGAGAATTTTTGAGGCTCTAAAACAAGAATTTATTGACACTATTCTATCAACAATTAATCTGTGATGTATTGTCCATTTTGATCTATCACTGTTTATCATTTTTCAGACAAATAGAAAATTCCGCACTTGTTGAATGACTTAGGTTTTCCCTCGAAGAAGGCAGTCAGATGGCTTTTGATCTCTTCCAACGAATCAAACTCTTTATTCTTCAAGGAATGCTGCAATGCCCGGTATAAGTGATAGGCACAAGGAGCAATGTCTAGTGAATATAGAGGGTGAGACAAAACATCCCAGCCATACCTAATGAGTTTTTTTGCAAACCATCAATGAAACATATAGTCTCGTATTATTGTGCTGAAAGATGATGCCTTTCTTGTTCACCAATTCTGGATACTTTATGGCAAGATTTCCCTTCATGTCAGCTAGCTGAGTGCAGTGTTTGTCAGAATTGATCGTATAATTCTGTGGAAGAAGCTCAAAGGACAACACCTTTGAAATTCCACCAGATGCAAAACATAACTTTTTTTGGGTATAGCCCTCCTTTTGAGGTTGTTTGTGGAGGTTTATTCGACTTTCCCCATGATCATTTCCTTGTTACACTATGATAGAGTATCCATTTTTCGTCGCCAGTAATCAACTGCTTCAAAAAAAAGCTCCTTGGAATTTTTTTTAAGAACGTATTGTACGCGTCAACGTGAGTGAGGAGGTTGCATTCAGTCAATGTGTGAGGAAGCCAGACATCAAGGCAACTCATATAACCCATATGTTTTAAATGATCATGGATCGTTTGGGAACGTCGAGATCCTGTGAGAGTTCCAATATACTTTTGCGAGGATTTTCATCCACTGCTTGCTTCAAGCAATCCTCGAGTGGCGTGGAAGGTCTTCCAGACTGTGCGACATCTTCGAGCTCGAAATTGCCATTACGAAATCGCACGAACCATCAGCTTACTGTTTGATTTGACACGGCATCCTCCCCGTAAATATTGCAAATTTCACGGGTAGTTTCCACTGCGGTGTTTCCTTTCCGAAAGCAAAAAAGCATAACGTAGCATAAGTGAAACTTTCGGTTGTCCATCTTCACGATCGCACCATTTAATGTTAAGCCAGCGGCACACGGTGCTTGTTTTCGCGCTGGATTGCTTGCTGGATGAAAATACTGCGTTCTGATTGGTGCATTTCCATCATCTTCGGAAATGTACCAATCAGAACGCAGTATTTTCATTCAGCAAGCAATTCAGGACGAAAACAAGCACCGTGTGCCGCTGGCTGAACTTGCTTTGTTTGTCAACACAAGACCTGCATTTGAAAGAGCAAATGCGCCATCTGTTAAGCCAGCGGCACACGATGCTTGTTTTCGTGCTGGATTGCTTGCTGGATGAAAATACTGCGTTTTGATTGGTACATTTCCGAAGATGGATGGAAATGCACCAATCAGAACGCAGTATTTTCATCCAGCAAGCAATCCAGCACGAAAACAAGCATCGTGTGCCGCTGGCTTTAAATGAGCTCTATCTAGAAGCCTTAAAGCCCTAAACACAATGCCAGGCAACAGGCAATAAGAATAAAAATAGACCAATCACAATAGATCATTCTTGTAATAGTCGATTGTGATTGGTCTATTTTTATTCTTATTGCTGTTGCCTGGCATTGTGTTTAGGGCTTAACTCACGCACTGCCAAACAAAACTGCAAACAAAACAACCCCAAATGCGATAGATAGCGAGAATTCTCATAACTTTTTGAATAACCTCTTTTTTCTAAAAAAGAATTCTTTTCGTATTTGAAAATGAACTTAGAAATACTGATTTGCGAATTAATTCTTTTTAAACTCTCTGTTATCTGGCATACCATAGGTATTATTATAGATAATATCATAATTTATTATTATTATATAAACTAAACTATATAAACTAAATTGTTTATTACATAAATAAAACTGGATAAGAACATTTATGAAATAATGTTTTTTTCTATTATGTCCTCTTAATATATTAATATATTATTTTACATTATTATTAATATAAAATATAATATGTTCTTAATTCTTTTAATATATATTCTCTTAATATGTTATAAATAATATATTATACAATAGTTTATTTTTATAATATTTCACATGCAATGGAAAAACTGACTTTTTATTTAAAAAACTGAGTATTGTAATTGCTTTAATTATGATTTAATAAAATTAATTTAAAAATAAATAAAAATCTAGCAGTTTTTAGCTATTTCTTAAGTACTCTTTAGCTATTCTTTTATCAAATAGTTGCCAGCACTGCATACACAACGCTACCACCAATGAAATGCTGCGTCCCGATTGATTTCGATATTCACTGCCAGCACTAAAAATCTATAGTATATATGACACAGACTATATATTTTCAGTATCGGCAGTGAACATCGGAACGCAGCCTATAGGTCTGTTCTTTTCCTCTACACCGCTGCACTAGTATAATAAGTTCGAGTGAGACAAATATATATTTGTCTCACTTTAACTTATTGCACCAGTGCAGCGGTGCAGAAGAAAAGAACAGACCAAATGTAGGCTGCGTTCCGATATTCACTGCCAGTACTGAAAATCTATAATATATGTGACATAAAGTATATATTTTCAGTATTGGTAGTGAATATCGGAACACATCCGTAGAATAGAGGGGCTGCGTTCCAATATTCACTGCCAGTACTGAAAATACATAGTTTATGTCACATATACTATAGATTTCCAGTGTTGATAGTGAATATCGGAACGCAACCAGGATAACCTTACTGCTTGAAGCAGCATGAATCAAGAACACGGTACGCAGCGGCGTAACAAAGATATTTTTTGACAGTTACTCTTTCAGCACATGTCGTAATTTAAGTTATCACTAATAATGGTTTACTATTTTACAAGCGAAGGTAATTCCATATTCTTTAACATTATTTTTTATCTCTAATATGAGGAAGTGTTTCTTTAAGTTATTTGTGATATCGTTTTGTTGTTATGGTGAGGTTAGAATAATAAGTACTAATCTTGATTTGCAGTGGTGCAGCCATCGGTTACATTGTTTATGGGATTTGACAAATACGAGAGTAAGTAAAATTATGCGAAATTAAATTATGTTATCCATGATTGATATATAAAATCGTTTACAGTTTTTAATGTACATGATTAAGTGGATTTGATTTATTGTAGATGAAGATCTTATCAAGTGGGGTTGGCCAGAGGATGTATGGTTTCATGTCGACAAATATTCATCTGCGCATGTATATCTTCGACTACAACATGTGAGTTTAATCATTAATTGAAGATGTAATTTTATGTCTTAACAAACAAAAAAGTAATCAATTTTTTTTCAAAATAATAGGGTCAAACAATAGATGACATTCCCAGCACAGTGCTAGAAGATGCTGCACAATTAGTAAAAGCAAATAGTATTGAAGGGAATAAAATGAATGACATTGATGTGGTATATACAATGTGGTCAAATCTGAAGAAGACACAAGGTATGGAGGTTGGCCAAGTTGGTTTCCACAAAGACAAGGATGTTCGTAAGATTCATGTTGCAAAGCGGATGAATACCATTGTAAATCGTCTCACTAAGACAAAACGTACAGAACAAGTAAACTTTAGAGCAGAAAGAGAACAGAGAGACAAAAATGAAAGAGAAGACAAGAAAAAACTACTAAGAGAACAGAAAGAGAGAGAAAAAGCTGAGGAAAAACGACGTCAGGAAGAAGCTGAAATGAAGTAAATTATTTTTCTTTATTTTTATCCTTATTCTTTCACCAATTTTTAATTTAAATTAAATTAACTTTTTTTTTAGAAGCTATAATTCCTTATTTAACACATCCAATATGACATCGAATACAGAAACCAGTGGATATGATTCAGATGATTTTATGTGATTAAAACCAATATTCACATTTGCAATATGTGCCTGATATAGAGGTATGCAAATTTTGTTTCACTGTTTGATTCACAAAATTATTGTATACCACTAATCCACCACAGTAGATACATTTAAGCACATCTGCATGTACATGATTACAATTACATTTTTATGTAATATTCTAAATTTCAGAAATATAGAAAAATTAAAATGTAGATATCTATAAATTATTTATGAAAAAAGGCCTAGAAAAAATATACAGTTTGGTCCAAAGTGATAATAACTACATGCAATACAAATTTCATTTTTACAATAGAGTAACATTAACAGCCTCCAAAGCTTTAACTATCCACGTCGGATAATCCTTATTAGGATATACAGTCAACATGTAGTCCTGTATGAATTTCGGAAATTTCTGTTCCTTTATGCTCTCTCTGATGTCTCGCATTAGTCGCATTTGAAATGCAATATTGTGAACAGTTAACAGATGACATGATACTGTTTCAATAGTAACTATTTGATGCAGATAAGCACGTGTATAAGTCTTGCAAGTGCTACACTCGCATAGCTCGTCTATCGGTTTCAAATCTCTACTGTATTGTGCTTTCCTCAAATTGAGCTGACCTGTTCTTGTCAACGCGCAGCCAAACCTCTGAAAATATATATTATTTTCAACTTTTATATATCTTGCTTCTATATTTTATATTTTTATATTTTTGTATATCTTTCAGAGTGCGCACTCTATTAAGTACTCACGGCTGTTCTCGTCGGAAATACACAATCGTACATATCGATTCCTAGCGCGCAGCATACAACCAAATCGACAGCGAATCCGACGCCCATAAGATAACGCGGTTTATTTTTGGGAAGTATATCTGTCGAAAGATGCACCATTCTCCAAAAATCATCTTTGCTCTCACCACCACTGCAAATCGTTAAATATGATTGCCCTTATGCGATGCGAACTGTGTATATTGTATGTATATTATATAAGTGTTTATATATTCCATATAAATTTTTTCTGTTCCAACATGTGTATTATTTAAATTGGCGGATAATCTGATGGCTCACCTCAAGCCTCCTACAGCGTAACCATTCACATCTCGTTGAATCAGTTGGCATGCGCTCTCGGATCGCAATTTCGGATCGAGACCACCTTGCACGATCGGGAATATGCTCTGTTCGTTTGGTCGCTCATGTGCTGACAAACAACGATCGAACCAACGTGTTGTTCTAAAGTAATTTACCAGGCAATATTCGATTATATTCAGTGTTAAGTAAAATATATATATATATATATGCTAGTTGCAAAACAAAAATATTAAGATAATGGTTACCTGTGCATCGCCTCTTCCACTCTTGGTCCAGTTATAGTACTTTTAACAACGTCGTCGAGCTGCATAATTATGTCAGCACCAATTGTATTTTGAATTTGGATTGAATGTTCAGGTGTCAACATGCATTCTGATTCTGTAAAACAGTTGATTATGTACAACTAATTATATGTAACTATACACATACCACACACACATATATACACACATATAATATATATATATATATATATATATAACTATATATAAATCGTAAGTGAATTTGGAAATGTACATCCAACTATATGTAATACCGTTGTATGGTGACTTGAATTTGACTCCTTCCTCTGTTATTTCTGCTAGCTGTAATAATGAGACCATTTGAAAGCCACCTGAATCTGTTAACAGAGCTCGCTTCCAATTCATGAATTTGTGTAATCCACCAGCTTTACGCAAGATATCTGTACCCTATGTCAAATGTTTAATCTATCATAATGTAATCAAAAATTTCTTTTCTATTTCTATTTGCATTATTTTACAAATGTAGATCTAAAACTTGAACATTGGATGAGACTTTTTGTTTAAATTAAGTGGTAGTATGTATTATTAATTCACATTTCTTGTTTTTATAATAGTTTTGCTGTTGCAAAAATACTATTTTTTGTCTAGGTAGGATTTTTATCCTTACTGGTCTGTTCCCAAGATGATAGGTGTTACCAAGAATGATTTGACAGTCCAATTGTTCCAGTTGCTGAGGCAGCAATCCTTTTAACGTTCCCTAAAAAATATGCACCGTTTGCTACGATGAGATCAGTTATATTGATTATTTTGACTTCACATTGTACAAAAGGAATTTTATAAACCTGCGTTCCCACCGGCATAAATACCGGTGTGTCCACATGATGATGAGCAAGTATCATTCTACCGGTTCTGGCTTTTGTAGTTTTGCATTCCGTGAATATTTCAAATATCAATGGAGTTTTCTGACTCTCCATCTTCTTTATCGCCAGTCTACCTAATTCTATGTTTGCTGCTGTTGAATATAATCTGTATGATAAACATCTAGACATAAGGGAGATATTTGGCATTTATGTTTTATTCGTGAAATAGATAGCAGGTTATGTCACGATTGCCAATAACAGCACCACGTGTTCTTTCTATTCTGAATCGTGGTGCAAGTGCATCTGTTTTAGCAGTACTTCCTTGCACTTTATTTTTCTCTCCTGCTCTCTCCCAGGCTCGAATATGTATTTGTTTCATTTTAAATGTTACTCTGCAAAGAAGTGTAGCTGCAAATTCGCAATAGTAAAAGTACCATTGTACTAGAAAAAGATACACTTTGAGATATATAAAGTGCAAATACGTATGCGTAAAAAGACGAATTTACCGGTGCGTGTCGATGGTGTGTATGATCAGCATTTTTCGTATTTCCGAATATTTGGACAACGTAGTTACAATCTTGCGTCATTTCAGAATAAAAAAGTTGTCCCTGGAAATTTTATTAGCGGCAAAAATCGAAATTCACTGTTACAACAAATACTTCATTACAATTAGAATAGCGTGGTACGTACATTGGAATCATTGTTTATATGCATGATGAGTGATATCTATGCAATTGCTCACAGCTGGTGCATAATATATATATGCCTAATATGATGTGCAAAAACTTATTAAATTTCATATTATGATGAAAACCTACTTGAGAAACTGATTTTTCTGGCACGATTCTGCAAGGTAAGACATACAAATTAAATATGTTTTACAATGAGGGGATAATTTTACAATAAAATATATATCTATCAACAATCTCTTCCGCAATTAGTAGAAAAGAAGAATATATATGTTTTGCTGGAAAAGGAAATATGAGTATATTGCTGTTATATTTTAACAGAAAAAACAAAACAAATGAAAATTACACACAGTTAAAACTGTACATTCCATGTTAATTGTAATATGTGAGTGTAGTGTTTCATAAATGTGTGTGAACTATGATTGAATTGCATTGGATAGACATCAATACAAAGAAATGTGTTGCATACTCAGGAAAGAATTGCTCTTGCAATAGTGGACGATCACAGTTAACCAACCGACAGCAAATATGAGAACTGAAGTGTCTTGGAAACGGCGATTCCTAAGAACAAGGTTGAAGTACATGGTGGTGTGCGTCTTCGTGGTCGCCGTGATATTCGTGATGCATCAACTGTTTTACTTCAAGGAACTGAATCGCACCACTGTGGGCAAGTTAATTGTCGGTTCGATCAAAGACTCTAATCGCGTGATCGTTGGCAACAAAGATATTTCCAAATGGCAACAGCCACAGCACTCCAAGCTTATACGCGACAAGAATGGTCGTACCGTATCGTTGCGCGGTTCACGAGATCAGGACGTCAGCAAATATCTTCCTGAAGCTAATGGCAAATTTATATGTTTTGCTGAGAAGATGGAAATTGATTTCATGAAAATCAATGATGACTATTGCGATTGTCCGGTGGATGGTAGTGATGAGCCAGGTACCAATGCATGCAACAATGGTTTCTTCTATTGTGAGAAGAGTTCGAAACAATCAACAGGTATAATATATATAATAGTTATATTTTGTATCCATTATTGTAGCTACATGAAGTTAAAAAATATAAATTATATTATGAATGTTTTATAAAATCTATATGCAACATTATAGTGAAGATACCATCGTACAAAGTCAATGATGGATTTTGTGATTGTTGTGATGGTTCTGATGAATGGGCTGAAGTACCAGTATCACATAAACTCAGTGGTAATTTTTTAAATACAGTCTAATTAAATAAGGATATATATGTAAAATAATATTAGTTTAATCTTTTCCTTCTTTATATTATTTTATTACAGAGTCAGATATAACTTTACGTGGAATGAAATGCCCAATAAGATGTTAGCAAGAAAAATGTAGGTACTATAACTGTAGATTGGAGAGAAAATACTATCATTTTTTTTATGTTGCAGTCACTATGGACTTATATAGGATCAACACAAGCAAATATAAGTAACAACATGTTATCAATTTAATTAGCAAAATAATATCTCAATTGTTTCTTATAAGAAAACAATACTTATATAATGTATAATTTATAAATAGATACAAATAATGAAATATTAAATATCAGAAGACATATCTCATTTTTCTAGATAACACAAATCTGTTTTAAAGCAATATACTAAAAGGATCATTTATAAAAAAAATAATTATATATTTACTTGGAAAATATAATAATATCTATATATAAAAATACCTTTTTTCCTAATAATATTAATTTGTTGACATTATACATTAACTAAATTTTATCAAGTAGATATTCTTTATTTTCATTCTTTTATATATACTTACTTATTATAAAATATTTTTTAAGTTGTTTTTTAATTTATCTATAACATTCATGAATAAATTGTATCAGGTAATATTTTATTATTGTTATTAGGATTATTATTATTAGGAAATATGATTTTATGTTATTAAAACATCAAAGTTGTGTGTGAAATTTTCATAAATATAAAAAAAGAAACTCAAAACTTTTATTGTTGTTAAATGAAATCAATCATCTGATCATTAGTTCTAATTTGTAATTATTTAAAAAAAATATATAATAAGATAATGATAAAAATTGTACAGAAAACAATTATATTGTAAATAATGTATTATATGCGACTTGTGTTTAATTGTTGCTATTTGTGACTAGATTAAGATTCTAAAACAATGTATTTAACAATGTATACATTGCAACGTAATGCAAGTTTGCAATGTTTAATGAAATGTATTCTGTGAAATATTATTTGTTTAAATCATAAGATGACGGTTATACATATTTTGATTTTCAAGTAAGGAAAGAGTTGTGGATTTGTTACTCTATTAATTCTATTAATTCTATACAGTCTGTAGATAATACTTAATTGATAAATTTCAACAGTCAAGAAAAAAAGAGCTTTTTATCTTACATTACTTCCGACACAAGTAAGAACATTGAAGTGCGATGATAAACTTCGTGCTTTATCCCCGAAATGTAGGATTCGTTGTACAAGCACACCCATACGTCGCAAATTCTCAGTGAAGCAATTTTCTTCCTCGCGAATCCAAGGACGATGAGTGTCTCGCACTTGATACGGTGTGACGTGTATGTGTGTGTTTATTTCTGAAAAAAAATATAAGATCAAAATATAATGGTGTTAGTGTTATTATTTCAACATTATTTATCTGTTAGTTGCCCTCACTCAATTTAGCGAAGGACCGGAGTATAGTTTGCTCTGTAATCCATGTATTTTTAGGACCATTGTGTCCAGCATCCAGCCACCACATATCTTTTATGAGTTTTATGAGACTATTTATGTCTGCATCCTTATTTGAATGTTCTTGATAATAGTGAAATTCATAAAGAAATTGATTTAGAACTCCACAGCCTTTACTGAAGCCCATTAAACTTAAATTTATCATCTCAATATTGTAGTCAATATCCTAAAAGTACAAAAATATATATTATATTTAATGCACACGATATTATTTAAGTATTATAATTATTAATATAATTATGTTTAATTAATACAATTCATTATGAGATAGATGCATATATTTATTGTACAAATAGATACATACCTCCCCCATTCTCAATGTTTTGACATGTTCTAAGCAACACAAAAGTAGTTCTCTTAAATGTTTTAAAGCTTTATGTGTTGGACAAAATAAAGGTGTACCATATTTATCCCCAGGTACAAAATTATCAAAACAACTGAATACTGCATTTCTAGTCATTGACATTCTGAAACAAATATGAAATTATATAGAAATGACTGATAACAAAGAGAACATTAAAAAAATTACAAAGGCCCTTGGTGAACTTTATCATATGCGGTTATTGAAGCAATATATGGTTTCAAAAACTAATATTATGTTTATATACAGTATGTAATAATCAATGCTCTACCTGACTGGACGAATAACAAATATATGACTATTGGGAAATTGGTCAGAAAGCATAGTTGCAGTATTCTCCAAGCACCACTTTACATATTCCTTACTATCTGAATGTTTCTCCATATTTTCTCGTGTATCCTATCATAATTTTCCAAATAACTTTTGATTAAAAAAGGTCACTCAAATAAGATATATAAAACCAGCAATCACTCAGTAATATTCAACATATTTCATTATAGCAGTTTTAATGCTATAATAGAATATGTTGAGTTTCCAAGTAATAGGTGGAGGAAACAATTGAACATAATTTTATCCGATGCAAACATAAAGATTACAATTTATCATTCACCGACTGATCCAGGACACACCTGGACATCGCCGCCAAAAAATACAAGAAAATTGGGCGTTGGTAGTAACTTCGATCGCATATAAAGTACATCGTTGCACCGACCCGGAATACCCGGCATATTTTTCCATATCCAAACTTTTGACCCCATTGACGCCTGTCAAAAATAATCACATGTAAAGTTATAAGCAGAGTAGGATATTTAATTTGATCGAATTGATCTATGTTTCTTGCACTTTTCCGATATATTCAAAGTGGCATGAGTTCATGTTGAATAGTTTGTATTAATTAGGAACATTCCAGAAGCATAATAGGAAGAAAGAAATACATAAACAAGGTGCACATAAAAAAGGAAGACACTTTACCTCTGGTATTTTAGCCTCGCTAGGAAAAATGTTTGTTCTTTATAGACACATTGCGATTGCACTGCAAACGAGGAAGGTTATGCGAGAGCACTACGAAGCTACACGAATGTCGGAATGTACAGAATTGCACTGCAACAAATACTGCAGTGGTGCAGTAATTAATATAGTAATATTATAGTAATATAGTATTAATATAATAATATATATCATATCTCACAAATAGGAAATAATATATTGTATACATTTTCTTATTATATTTATTTATTTGTAATATACTTCAAAATGAAATGACTATATTTCTCGTCCGTAAAGAAATAAGCAGAATTTGACGAATTGCCAAAACTCAAAAATAACAATAATGAGATGCTCTTAGAAAGATTTTAAAGATCAAAAATTCTAACTTTCGGAAATATTATCAAATATAAAGTGCAAACGTTGTTTATGATGTTACAAAAATAAAGAATAGTGATTTGTTAAATGTAAATATATTTCCCACGAAACTTATCGAATTGCAATACCTGAAATAAAAATTATATATGGGTAAAGTATGTGTACTCTATTTAAAGTTATAAACTACGTTTCTTTTGTTTAAATCCTCGCAGATCGCGATATCATATTTTTACATCGAGTTATTTATTGTTGAAATAATACCGACTGTTTCATCTAAGGTAAATCACCGACGAGATAAAGACTGTTATCGATAATATTCATCGTAGTTGTCACCGACGTCGCCGCCCCGTGGGTTCATTCGCTTCGCTACCAGCTGCCTGTGTCGCTGCCGTCATCTAAAGACTGACAGCCCTGGGTAAATTTTCGTACTAACTAATGGGGCCCAAAGGGGCCCGGTAATTGAAAAGCAATGATAATACCGATTGCTTTAGCTACGCTCATGATAATACAGCAAGCAACTATTGCCGCTGCGAGGTGAGGGGAAACACAAAACGCCGCTATTCATGTTTTATCTCGCATCTCCCACGTCTCTCGACGCATGTCCCCAGCAGTTGCTAAATCGACTGGTCCACGCTGTGACCCGAATGGCTGCTCCGTTCTATATCTCCAAGAGCTCTACAACAATACCTACAACAATACAGGCCACACACTAAAGCCAGCGGCACACGGTGCTTGTTTGGTACATTTCCAAAGATAGATGCAAATGCACCAATCAGAACTCAGTATTTTCATTCAGCAAGCAATCTAGCACAAAAACAAGCACCGTGAGCCGCTAGCTTGACTTAAGCCAGCGGCACACGGTGCTTGTTTTCGTGCTGGATGAAATACTGCGTTGTGATTGATATATTTTCGGAGACGGATGGAAATGTCCAATCAGAACGTAGTATTTTCATCCAGCAAGCAATCCAGCACGAAACAAGCATCGTGTGCCGCTGGCTTTAATGCAAGTTTAGTAGTGTAGCCAAAAAGAACAATCCAGTAGAAAGTGTAGCTCAGTAGTACCAGAGAGGAACATAAGAGCGGCCAACACGGCGTTTTCGGCGCCATCTGCATTCATTTTGAAAGGAGAACTATGATGCTACATCTAATTTTAGGTTTCCGCGGTAAAACTTATATGTACTGGCAGTAAATTCTACATCCATTTTCAAGCGTTTATGTCCATGCTAAAACCATAATATCGTTCTTAACAAGCACGGTCTAGTACATTAAAGCCAGTGGCACACGGTGCTTATTTTCGTGCTGGATTGCTTGCTGGATGAAAAAACTGCGCTCTGATTGGTACATATCCGAAGATGGATGGAAATGCACCAATCAGAACACAGTATTTTCATTCAGCAAGCAATCCAGCACGAAAACAAGCATCGTGTGCCGCTGGCTTAATATCTCCGTTTCTACTGGGAATTAAAAGTGGAGCCTTTTGGTCAGAATAGGATAGATATGGAACTATATCGTAGTGAAAAGGTGTTTCTGTATCTTGAGCCGTTTAGGAGACAAAGGTCCGTTCCTGTATATCTAATCGTTTAGGAGATATCGAAAGTTAAAGTTTTTCAACTTGTACCGCCAATATCTCCGTTTCTACTAGGAATTAAGAGTCGAAATTTATGGTGAGAATAGGGCTGATACAAGACTAAATTGTTGCAAAAAAACAGGCCTGCATCTCTAGTAGCTTAGGATATATCGAAGGTTAAAGATTTCCAAATTGTACCGTTGATATCTCCGCTTCTACTGGGAGTAGAGAGTCGTCATTTACGGGAACATTTAGGGTTTTGAGAGGACTTTATTTTGGTGCCAGAACCAGGCCTGTATCTCTAACCGTTTAGGAGATATCGAAGGTTAAAGTTTTCCAACCTTTCTCCGTAGATATCTCCGCTTCTACTGGGAGTAGAGAGTCGTCATTTACGGGAAAATGTAGGGTTTTGAGAGGAATTTATTTTGGCGCCAGAACCAGGCCTGTATCTCTAACCGTTTCGGAGATATCGGAGGTTAAAAATTTTCAAAATTTCTCCGTTGATATCTCCGCTTCTACTGGGAGTAGAGAGTCGACATTTACGGGAAAATGTAGGGTTTTGAGAAGATTTTATTTTGGTGCCAGACCAAGGCCTGTATCTCTAACCGTATAGAAGATATCGAAGGTTAAAGTTTTCCAGCCTTTCTCCGCCGATATCCAGTCTTCCTCCGTCGATATCTCCGATTCTACTGGGAGTAAAGAGTCGTCCATGTAGTCGAAAATGTAGGGTTTTGAAAGGACTTTAATTTGGTACCTGGTCGAAGCCTGTATCTCTAACCGTTTAGGAGATATCGAAGGTTAAAGTTTTCCAACCTTTCTCCGTCGATATCTCCGCTTCCACTGGGAGTAGAGAGTCGTCCATGTAGTCCAAAATGTAGGGTTTTGAAAGGGCTTTAATTTGGTACCAGTCCGAAGCCTGTATCTCTAACCGTTTAGGAGATATCGAAGGTTAAAGTTTTCCAACCTTTCTCCTTCGATATCTCCGCTTCCACTGGGAGTAGAGAGTCGTCCATGTAGTCCAAAATGTAGGGGTTTGAAAGGGCTTTAATTTGGTACCTGTCCGAAGCCTGTATCTCTAACCGTTTAGGAGATATCGAAGGTTAAAGTTTTCCAGCCTTTCTCTATCGATATCCATCCTTCATCCGTCGATATCTCCGCTTCTACTGGGAGTAGAGAGTCGTCCATGTAGTCCAAAATGTAGGGTTTTGAAAGGGCTTTAATTTGGTACCAGTCCGAAGCCTGTATCTCTAACCGTTTAGGAGATATCGAAGGTTAAAGATTTCCAACCTTTCTCCGTCGATATCTCCGCTTCCACTGGGAGTAGAGAGTCGTCCATGTAGTCCAAAATGTAGGGTTTTGAAAGGGCTTTAATTTGGTACCAGTCCGAAGCCTGTATCTCTAACCGTTTAGGAGATATCGAAGGTTAAAGTTTTCCAGCCTTTCTCTAACGATATCCAGCCTTCATCCGTCGATATCTCCGCTTCTACTGGGAGTAGAGAGTCGTCCATGTAGTCCAAAATGTAGGGTTTTGAAAGGGCTTTAATTTGGTACCTGTCCGAAGCCTGTATCTCTAACCGTTTAGGAGATATCGAAGGTTAAAGTTTTCCAGCCTTTCTCTAACGATATCCAGCCTTCATCCGTCGATATCTCCGCTTCTACTGGGAGTAGAGAGTCGACCATGTAGTCCAAAATGTAGGGTTTTGAAAGGGCTTTAATTTGGTACCAGTCCGAAGCCTGTATCTCTAACCGTTTAGGAGATATCGAAGGTTAAAGTTTTCCAACCTTTCTCCGTCGATAGCTCCGCTTCCACTGGGAGTAGAGAGTCGTCCATGTAGTCCAAAATGTAGGGTTTTGAAAGGGCTTTAATTTGGTACCTGTCCGAAGCCTGTATCTCTAACCGTTTAGGAGATATCGAAGGTTAAAGATTTCCAACCTTTCTCCGTCGATATCTCCGCTTCTACTGGGAGTAGAGAGTCGTCCATGTAGTGCAAAATGTAGGGTTTTGAAAGGGCTTTAATTTGGTACCTGTCCGAAGCCTGTATCTCTAACCGTTTAGGAGATATCGAAGTTTAAAGTTTTCCAACCTTTCTCCGTCGATATCTCCGCTTCTACTGGGAGTAGAGTCGTCCATGTAGTGCAAAATGTAGGGTTTTGAGAGGACTTTAATTTGGTGCCAGAACCAGGCCTGTATCTCTAACCGTTTAGGAGATATCGAAGGTTAAAATTTTCCAGCCTTTCTCGGTCGATATCCAGCTTTCCTCCGTCGATATCTCCGCTTCTACAGGGAGTAGAGAGTCGTCCATGTAGTCGAAAATGTAGCGTTTTGAGAGGACTTTATTTTGGTGCCATACCGAGGCCTGTATCTCTAACCGTTTAGGAGATATCGAAGATTAAAGTTTTCCAACCTTTCTCCGTTGATATCTCCGCTTCTACTGGGAGTAGAGAGTCCCCATTTACGGCAAAATGTAGGGTTTTGAGAGGACTTTAATTTGGTGCCAGAACCAGGCCTGTATCTCTAACCGTTTAAGAGATATCGAATGTTAAAATTTTCCAGCCTTTCTCCGTCGATATCTAGCCATCCTCCGTCGATATCTCCGCTTCTACTGGGAGTAGAGAGTCGTTCATGTAGTCGAAAATGTAGGGTTTTGAGAGGACTATTTTGGTGCCAGATCGAGGCCTGTATCTCTAACCGTTTAGGAGATATCGAAAATTAAAGTTTTCCAACTTTTTTCCGTTGAATTCTCCGCTTCTACTAGGAGTAGAAAGTCTTCATTTACGAGAAAATGTAGGGTTTTGATAGAACTTTATTTTGGTGCCAGAACCAGGCCTGTATCTCTAACCGTTTAGGAGATATCGAAGGTTAAAGTTTTCCAACCTTTCTTCATTGATATCTCCGCTTCTACTGGGAGTAGACAGTCGTCATTTACGGGAAAATGTAGGGTTTTGAGAGGACTTTATTTTGGTGCCAGAAACAGGCCTGTATCTCTAGCCGTTTAGGAGATATCGAAAGGTAAAGTTTTCCAATCTTTCTCCGTTGATGTCTCCGCTTCTACTGGGAGTAGAGAATCGTCATTTACGGGAAAATGTAGGGTTTTGAGAGGACTTTATTTTGGTGCCAGATACAGGCCTGTATCTCTGGCTGTTTAGGAGATATCGAAGGTTAATGTTTTCCAACCTTTCTCCGTTGATATCTCCGCTTCTACT